GGAAAGCGTGGTGAGGGGTGTGATGTGTGTGTGTGTGTATGGATGTGTGTGTGTGTTTGTGTATATGTGTGTGTGGTGGCTCTGACAGGGTGAGAACTCCCAGAAGAGTTCTCACAACACAACACAGGGGAGGGCAGGGGGAGGGGAGGAGAGGGGAGGGCAGGCAGAGGAGGATGGCAGGGCAGGAGAGGGGAGGAGAGGGGGACGAAGAGGGCAGGAGAGGGCAGGAGAGTGGAGGGCAGGAGAGGAGAGGGCAGGGCAGGAGAGGAGAGGAGAGGGCAGGGCAGGAGAAGGGAGGAGAGGAGAGGAGAGGGCTGGAGAGGGCAGGAGAGGGCTGGAGAGTGGAGGGCAGGAGAGGAGAGGGCAGGGCAGGAGAGGAGAGGAGAGGGCAGGGCAGGAGAGGAGAGGGCAGGGCAGGAGAGGAGAGGAGAGGGGAGGAGAGGGCTGGAGAGGAGAGGGCAGGAGAGGGGAGGACAGGAGAGGGGAGAAGAGGGCAGGAGAGGGGAGAAGAGGGGATGAGAGGGCAGGAAAGGGGAGGAGAGGGGAGGGCAGGAGAGGACAGCCTCCTCTGTTCTCCTCGGTTGTCCTCTGTTGTCCTTTGGCCTCCTCTGTTCTCCTCTGGCCTCCTCTGTTCTCCTCTGTTGTCCTCTGTTGTCCTCTGGCCTCCTCTGTTCTCCTCTGTTCTCCTCTGGTCATCTGTATGGTTACAGGGACACTGCGGCACACAGCAGCAGGGATCAGTGTTAACTTAATTTACTACACCATGCTGCTGGGTTGTCACTGCATCTGCTCACACACACCTGCCTAGCCTGAGTGTGGGAGTCTTGAAACGTCTTATAGCTTACTGTTATTTGTCCTAGTGAGCTTTATTCAGACCTATAGCTTCAGTCCTAGGTTACAGTACTGTTATTTGTCCTAGTGAGCTTTATTCAGACCTATAGCTTCAGTCCTAGGTTACAGTACTGTTATTTGTCCTACTGAGCTTTATTCAGACCTATAGCTTCAGTCCTAGGTTACAGTACTGTTATTTGTCCTTACTGAGCTTTATTCAGACCTATAGCTTCCAGTCCTAGGTACAGTACTGTTATTTGTCCTAGTGAGCTTTATTCAGACCTATAGCTTCAGTCCTAGGTTACAGTACTGTTATTTGTCCTACTGAGCTTTATTCAGACCTATAGCTTCAGCCCTAGGTTACAGTACTGTTATTTGTCCTACTGAGCTTTATTCAGACCTATAGCTTCAGTCCTAGGTTACAGTACTGTTATTTGTCCTACTGAGCTTTATTCAGACCTATAGCTTCAGTCCTAGGTTACAGTACTGTTATTTGTCCTACTGAGCTTTATTTAGCCCTAGTTTCAGTTCTACAGTAGGTTACAGTAAAATGACATTCCTTGTCAATAGACGGACACCCTCTGACTTAGAGTCCTGTACGGGCATGAATTTTAAGCCCGAGCCCTACCCATGCTCGCGACGTTCAGGCCCTACCCTACCCAGGCCTGATTGGCCAAATTTAAGGCCCTGCCCGAACCCGAAATCAGAAATAACTTCCTTCGTTAGGATCCATTAGCTGCTTGTCTCTGTGCTTCTCACACTGCATGCTCTGCTGCTAGTCCCATGATGCATTTCATTACGCCGTACGTCATCTTCACAGCGTCTCGCCCCGCTACTGAATGGACAAGTGTAGTGTTTGTAACTCGAGATGGAGGAGAGCCTGCATCTCGTCAGAGATCACATTTATTTTGGGTGACTTTTTCATTCAAGACAGGATCAATATATCGTTTCAGCTGATAATAAAACGTGTTTTGTTTATTTACTTTTTCCTCGACTTGTTTCTGTCTTTATAGCGAGTCAAGCTAGCTATCTTACACTGCAGAGAAGCTAGCCAGCTAGCTAGCTAAAAGCTTACCACTGTAACTAATAACATGGTGTATCATTAAGATGATAGGGGTTTAGCATGGTATCATTATTTTACATTTACAGTCATTTAGCAGACGCTCTTATCCAGAGCGACTTACAGTTAGTGAGTGCATACATTATTTTTTTATTTTCATACTGGCCCCCCATGGGAATCAAACCCACAACCCTGGCGTTGCAAACGCCATGCTCTACCAACTGAGCTACATCCCTGCCGGCCATTCCCTCCCCTACCCTGGACGACGCTGGGCCAATTGTGCACCGCCCCATGGGTCTCCCGGGTCGCGGCCAGCTACGACAGAGCCTGGATTCGAACCAGGATCTCTAGTGGCACAGCTAGCACTGCGATGCAGTGCCTTAGACCACTGCGCCACTCGGGAGAGGCGCAGTGGTGGATAGGAGTTTAGCATGGTGATAATGGTGATGGTGGAGGAGCAGTGTTTATCATGGGGGTGGTGGAGGAGCAGTGTTTATCATGGGGGTGGAGGAGGAGCAGTGTTTATCATGGGGGTGGTGGAGGAGCAGTGTTTATCATGGGGGTGGAGGAGGAGCAGTGTTTATCATGGGGGTGGTGGAGGAGCAGTGTTTATCATGGGGGTGGAGGAGGAGCAGTGTTTATCATGGGGGTGGTGGAGGAGCAGTGTTTATCATGGGGGTGGAGGAGGAGCAGTGTTTATCATGGGGGTGGTGAGAGCAGTGTTTATCATGGGGGTGGGGAGCAGTGTTTATCATGGGGGTTGGGTGGAGGAGCAGTGTTTATCATGGGGGTGGAGGAGGAGCAGTGTTTATCATGGGGGTGGTGGAGGAGCAGTGTTTATCATGGGGGGTGGAGGAGGGAGCAGTGTTTATCATGGGGGTGGTGGAGGAGCAGTGTTATCATGGGGGTGGGAGGAGCAGTGTTTATCAGGGGTGGTGGAGGAGCAGTGTTTATCATGGGGGGTGGAGCAGTGTTTATCATGGGGGGTGGAGCAGTGGTTTATCATGGGGGTTGGTGGAGGAGCAGTGTTTATCATGGGGGGTGGAGAGGAGCAGTGTTTATCATGGGGTGGTGGAGGCGCACTGTTTATCATGGGGGGTGGTGAGGAGCAGTGTTTATCATGGGGGTGGTGGAGGAGCAGTGTTTATCATGGGGGTGGTGGAGGAGCAGTGTTTATCATGGGGGTGGTGGAGGAGCAGTGTTTATCATGGGGGTGGTGGAGGAGCAGTGTTTATCATGGGGGTGGTGGAGGAGCAGTGTTTATCATGGGGTGGTGGAGGAGCAGTGTTTATCATGGGGGTGGAGGAGGAGCAGTGTTTATCATGGGGGTGGAGGAGGAGCAGTGTTTATCAAGGGGGTGGTGGAGGAGCAGTGTTTATCATGGGGGTGGTGGAGGAGCAGTGTTTATCATGGGGGTGGAGGAGGAGCAGTGTTTATCATGGGGGTGGAGGAGGAGCAGTGTTTATCATGGGGGTGGAGGAGGAGCAGTGTTTATCATGGGGGTGGTGGTGGAGCAGTGTTTATCATGGGGGTGGAGCAGTGTTTATCATGGGGGTGGAGCAGTGTTTATCATGGTGGTGGTGGTATCAGCTGGGACTCCAGGCTGTGGCGGTGTTTTCCCTCCCTATTCTACAGTGACTTATCTTAGGGATGGCTACTGATTGCTTTCCCAGTCCCCTCTCGCAAAATGATATGCCCCAGCCAGCCAATGCTCTGGTATACAGCCAGCCAGCCAGCCAGCCAATAATCTGGTATACAGCCAGCCAGCCAGCCAATGCTCTGGTATACAGCCAGCCAGCCAGCCAGCCAATGCTCTGGTATACAGCCAGCCAGCCAATGCTTTGGTATACAGCCAGCCAGCCAGCTAGCCAATGATCTGGTATCCAGCCAGCCAATGCTCTGGTATACAGCCAGCCAGCCAACCAATGCTCTGGTATACAGCCAGTCAGCCAATGCTCTTGTATACAGCCAGCCAGCCAGCCAGCCAATGCTCTGGTATACAGCCAGCCAGCCAACCAATGCACTGGTATCCAGCCAGCCAATGCTCTGGTATACAGCCAGTCAGCCAATGCTCTGGTATACAGCCAGCCAGCCAGCCAGCCAATGCTCTGGTATACAGCCAGCCAGCCAATGCTCTGGTATACAGCCAGCCAGCCAGCCAGCCAATGCTCTGGTATACAGCCAGCCAGCCAGCCAATGCTCTGGTATACAGCCAGCCAACCAATGCTCTGGTATACAGCCAGTCAGCCAATGCTCTGGTATACAGCCAGTCAGCCAATGCTCTGGTATACAGCCAGCCAGCCAGCCAGCCAATGCTCTGGTATACAGCCAGCCAGCCAATGCTCTGGTATACAGCCAGCCAGCCAGCCAGCCAATGCTCTGGTATACAGCCAGCCAGCCAGCCAATGCTCTGGTATACAGCCAGCCAACCAATGCTCTGGTATACAGCCAGCCAGCCAGCCAGCCAATGCTCTGGTATACAGCCAGCCAGCCAACCGATGCTCTGGTATCCAGCCAGCCAATGCTCTGGTATACAGCCAGCCAGCCAACCAATGCTCTGGTGTACAGCCAGTCAGCCAATGCTCTGGTATACAGCCAGCCAGCCAATGCTCTGGTATACAGCCAGCCAGCCAATGCTCTGGTATACAGCCCGCCAGCCAGCCAGCCAGCCAATGCTCTGGTATACAGCCAGCCAGCCAATGCTCTGGTATACAGCCAGTCAGCCAATGCTGTGGTATACAGCCAGCCAGCCAATGCTCTGGTATACAGCCAGCCAGCCAATGCTCTGGTATACAGCCAGCCAGCCAATGCTCTGGTATACAGCCAGCCAGCCAGCCAGCCAATGCTCTGGTATACAGCCAGCCAGCCAATGCTCTGGTATACAGCCCGCCAGCCAGCCAGCCAGCCAATGCTCTGGTATACAGCCAGCCATCCAATGCTCTGGTATACAGCCAGTCAGCCAATGCTGTGGTATACAGCCAGCCAGCCAATGCTCTGGTATACAGCCAGCCAGCCAATGCTCTGGTATACAGCCAGCCAGCCAATGCTCTGGTATACAGCCAGCCAGCCAGCCAGCCAATGCTGTGGTATACAGCCAGTCAGCCAATGCTCTGGTATACAGCCAGCCAGCCAGCCAGCCAATGCTCTGGTATACAGCCAGCCAGCCAGCCAATGCTCTGGTATACAGCCAGCCAGCCAATGCTCTGGTATACAGCCAGCCAGCCAGCCAGCCAATGCTGTGGTATACAGCCAGTCAGCCAATGCTCTGGTATACAGCCAGCCAGCCAATGCTCTGGTATACAGCCAGCCAGCCAGCCAGCCAATGCTGTGGTATACAGCCAGCCAGCCAATGCTCTGGTATACAGCCAGCCAGCCAATGCTCTGGTATACAGCCAGCCAGCCAATGCTCTGGTATACAGCCAGCCAGCCAATGCTCTGGTATACAGCCAGTCAGCCAATGCTCTGGTATACAGCCAGCCAGCCAATGCTCTGGTATACAGCCAGTCAGCCAACCAATGCTCTGGTATACAGGTCTTAGCATCTCTTGGATCTGAGTCAGCTGGTGATTAGTACTGCCTGCTCCATATCTGACCTGGTTTACCAATGGAGCCACCCGGCTATGCACTGAGACCCCCGAGCGTGCTATATGTGTCAAATCACACAATGTGCTTACGCGGCTGGGGCGTAGCATAGCCTCTTAATTTTGTTTTTGTGACGACGGTGGGGGATTTGGGTTAATCTGCTTTGAGGCACGCAGCCCCCTCGTGTTCTATTTAATAATTTAATACACAGATAAAAACATTGTAAAAGGGGATGCAAACTAAAGGACCGTAGTGATATGTATAGATGGTATGGATATATGTTTAAATACCTTACTACATGTGCTTTTCATTAACACCCACTTTTTAACATCACACGCAAATCTGGACAATATCCCCATAAACTCCAGATGTTTTTTTGTTTTTTTTTGTTTTTTGTGTCATAAACAGGAATTGAACAATCGTGTATTTATTTGGTTACTTTGAAATGTCTGAAGTGTTTTTTTTCCCCAAGCATAAGCAGTGACATGGTTTCCTGATGTTTGGTCTGTTAGTCTATTGGCCCACCATGTGGACAATAAGGCATTACCATGACAGCATGTTCCGCTTTATTGGCAGAAGACTACAGTCTTGAGTTGTCTGAGGCCTGCCTCTTGAATAAAGAATGGACCTTTTCACATTGTGTTTTTATCAGGAATGAAGCATCCATGTGTTTAACCCTGACCTGTTAATAACTGTTATTATCTGTTTCTCTCTCTCAGTCACAATGGTCCCAGTTCTGTTTTTGGTGGCAACCACGATAACGACCAATGACACTTCCAGCGGAGACCAATCAGGTGGTAAGTGAGACTGGTGTCATTTACCATAGAATGTGCTTCTGGAGACATACACTACGTACTGTGTAGCAATGGTCAAACAGGCCGATTTCTAAAACAGGTTGGACATGTTTCCATGACTCAGTAAAATGTAATAACTGTTTATGAACAGTAAATACACAGTAATGCCTAATTCTATATTGCAGTATATGCACAACTGTCTGATAAGGTACTGTTGTGCACCCTTCCTTTGTTATTACCGGATCATAGTGAAGCTGGAGTGGATTAGTTTGGCCAGTAATTTATCATGCTGTTATCGTTTGTAAACAGGCCAAATTGCTGGCCGGCTGTGAAGGCCTTAACAGAAGCCCTTCTCAGCTTGTTCCTGATACTTATCTCCCTAGACGAAGGCTACGGGCCAAAATGGCAGCCTATTCCCTATATGGTGCACTACTTTTTCCCCAGGACACATAGGGGCTCTGGTCAAAAGTAGTGTACTATATAGGGAATAGGGTGCCATTTTGGGATGCAGCCAAAAAATACTGCTGAAGTCAGATCTCAAATCAGGCCTCCATCCAGACCATAATAATGGGCCTAGTTGCCTGCCAACCCTAATTCCCACCACCATCCACCAGAGCAGGGTTGTGTTCAGTAGAGACAACACGGAAGAAAACACTCTGAAGCAGAGAGCAACTATCTGAACTAGTCCCAATAGGAAAGGGTTGTTTTTGTTTTCCGTTGGAAAACGTTTTGCCGCAGTGTACCTTAATGAACATTGCCCAGCACCTGGCCTGTGCTCAACCCTCTGTAACCCCATAGAAATATAATAACTAGAGCAGCCATTCATGGTCTGAGGGGCTTTTGACCTGTCTAGTAATTTTACTTCTATACTCAACCCTCTGTTCTACCACAGGCTTCTTCCTGTTCCTTTGTTGACTCTCTCTCTGGCTGTCTGGTTGCATCCCAATAACCTCTCCTACCTCCTGAAGTGTGCACTCGTTCACTACACTGTGTTATTGTAGGCATGGGCTAGACTCGAGGGAGGTTCCATTATTTTTTTTTCCGATCTATGAAGGGAAGTGAACAAGTGCACACTCTGGGAGGAAGGAGAGATTTCTGGGCCGTAACCTCTGCCTGTTCTTCCTCCCTCTCCTTCCATAAGACGCCGAGTCCCAGAGTCCCCACATCCTGCCTACCGTGCTGGTCATCTCTGCGCTGCTTGTCATCAGCATACTGCTGGCGTGGTACTTCTTCAGGTAACGTACCGGTCATAGGGTGGGGTGGTGTGTGAGAGTGTTCAGGGTGTGTGTAGCTCTGCCAGACAGAGCGAGGGCCGGGGCCAACGTGACGTCACCCTTCCTCTTCCCAATAAGCGGAGGGCGGAGCCTCCAGTCAGGAAATGAACCAATAGCTGGTGCTCATGCCTCATGCGGGCTACAGTAAAACTGAAAACTACACAGCCAGGCAGGTTAGTATGAACTAGCTTCAAGTCAAAGGGAGAGACCTACTGTAGCTGTAACCTAGCGGTGCTGTGTTCTGTGATCTCGTCAACCCTGGACTCTAATGAGAAAGAACAGCTTTTCCAGCTTCAGATGGTACCATACCAATATATTTGTGTGTTTTATGTAACGTATAACTAATGTTTTAACTTAGAACTTAGAACTGATAGTTCTTAGAACTGATAGTTCTTAGAACTTAGAACTGATAGTTCTTAGAACTTAGAACTGATAGTTCTTCGAACTAAGAACTGATGTTTCGGAGTGAACTCGACTAATAGTTGTAGGTAAAAGGTATCCCTTTATTTCCGTTTATCGCTCGTTCTCATGTTCTCTCTGCTCTTTCTTTCCCTCCGTCTCTCTCTCTCTACCTGGCAGGTTAAGAAACCAGAGAAAGGAGGTCGTCATAACAGTCGACAAGAAAATACCAAATGGAATCCTGGAAGAACAAGGTACGGTAACCTTTAATAATTCGTTTCTATCTTTATTATATAATTTATCCTTTATTCAACCAGGGAAGTCGCATTGAGATATACTTTTTTTTTTTTTTCAAGTCAGCCCTGGGTTGAAGAACAATGTCAAACTTTGAATGATTTGTTTTTTACACATACAGCGTTTGTCGAGAGGAGACAATCGAAAGAGTTTTTAATGTCAACCTGTAGGTTGAGGAGTCCCGTCACTGTCATGTGGTTGTTGTCTGTCTTCCTGTGGTTACGGATGCGAAGGAGAGATCTGATAGATAGTTGTCTAACTTGCATCAACTAAGAAGTCCCGATCTACATGGCAGTAGCCGATGCTCCACTAAGGCGTGTCAACATGATAAGCGCTCCACATGGTTTCTTCAATACTGTTGCTGTGTTAAATACACATTTATAAAAACAGGCAGCCATCGTTACATCTATTATTAATAATAATATCACTGTAATAATACTTTTATTAGCTGCGTTGTTTGACACATATGGGAAGTGTTTGTTTTGCGATATCAAACATTACAATAGTTGGAGTTAGTGGAAACATTGTGTACATTCAAAGGACTTGATTTAAATTTTACATTTTTATATTTTACTTGATATACTCATAAGAACATGTTATGAGTATCCTTTCTCAATCTGGAATATCTTATCAAACAACACAATTTAAAGTATGGAGGATGGAGCATGCTCCCTATAGCCTGTCCTAATAACAACACTAAGTTCCTGATCAGAATATAACTGGAGTATGGAGCATGCTCCCTATAGCCTGTCCTAATAGCAACGCTAAGTTCCTGATCAGAATATAACTGGAGTATGGAGCAGGCTTCCTATAGCCTGTCCTAATAGCAACACTAAGTTCCTGATCAGAATATAACTGGAGTATGGAGCATGCTCCCTATAGCCTGTCCTAATAGCAACACTAAGTTCCTGATCAGAATATAACTGGAGTATGGAGCAGGCTCCCTATAGCCTGTCCTAATAGCAACACTAAGTTCCTGATCAGAATAAAGCTGGGATATTGTTTAATTGACACGAGCAGCCAATGCGCATGCCCAGGCTTGTAACCACTGAGCTCCTCTGGTCTCCTCTGGTCAAACACTTTTATCAGAAGGTTTACAGTGGAATGTGTGTATGTGTGTGTGTATGTGTGTATGTGTATGTGTGTTTGTGTTTGTGTTTGTGTGTTTATTTTGGCACATTGACAATGAGGTTAACAAGACTAAGGTTCTTTCTTGAGGATTTTCACTCTGCAGAAGTATGAAGCTATTTCCTGTACGGTGCCTCTATGTTGTGGCAGAAATATATGAATAACCATCTGATTGACTTGTGGAGCAACCTACTGTAGGACATTTTGTCACAATATGTAACTGTCTGTTACCTTGTGTTTGTCAACCCATCCCCACGGTGTACAGGCGATATCGTTGACATCATAGACATCTCAGAGGCGTTAAACACACCAGGTCAGGTATACGGTGTGTAGCCATAATCGGTACCTGGGTCCGGTTCGCTCATGTCACTAACAAACCTCTTCCAGGGCATTGTGGGCTTTGACTTCTCTCAAATTCTGCTCTAACAAAAGCTTCCCACAGTATTGTTGCAAGGGGGATGCCAACAGAGTGCTCTGTGCTGTAGTGTTGCTGGGCTTTGTGATGCTGGCTCTGGGGACAGTGACATTTTAACAACTAGTGGCGTTCATTGGACCAATAAACGTATATCACTCGTGTAGAGTGTCTAGATTTAAATTAGATCTAAAGGAACTAGCATTTGAAATCAGTGTGTATTGCACATATACAGTGGGGAAAAAAAGTAATTAGTCAGCCACCAATTGTGCAAGTTCCCCCACTTAAAAAGATGAGAGAGGCCTGTAATTTTCATCATAGGTACACGTCAACTATGACAGACAAATTGAGAAAAAGAAATCCAGAAAATCACATTGTAGGATTTTTTATGAATTTGTTTGCAAATTATGGTGGAAAATAAGTATTTGGTCACCTACAAACAAGCAAGATTTCTGGCTCTCACAGACCTGTAACTTCTTCTTTAAGAGGCTCCTCTGTCCTCCACTCGTTACCTGTATTAATGGCACCTGTTTGAACTTGTTATCAGTATAAAAGACACCTGTCCACAACCTCAAACAGTCACACTCCAAACTCCACTATGGCCAAGACCAAAGAGCTGTCAAAGGACACCAGAAACAAAATTGTAGACCTGCACCAGGCTGGGAAGACTGAATCTGCAATAGGTAAGCAGCTTGGTTCGAAGAAATCAACTGTGGGAGCAATTATTAGGAAATGGAAGACATACAAGACCACTGATAATCTCAGTCGATCTGGGGCTCCACGCAAGATCTCACCCCGTGGGGTCAAAATGATCACAAGAACCGTGAGCAAAAATCCCAGAACCACACGGGGGGACCTAGTGAATGACCAGCAGAGAGCTGGGACCAAAGTAACAAAGCCTACCATCAGTAACACACTACGCCGCCAGGGACTCAAATCCTGCAGTGCCAGACGTGTCCCCCTGCTTAAGCCAGTACATGTCCAGGCCCGTCTGAAGTTTGCTAGAGTGCATTTGGATGATCCAGAAGAGGATTGGGAGAATGTCATAATGTCAGATGAAACCAAAATATAACTTTTTGGTAAAAACTCAACTCGTCGTGTTTGGAGGACAAAGAATGCTGAGTTGCATTCAAAGAACACCATACCTACTGTGAAGCATGGGGGTGGAAACATCATGCTTTGGGGCTGTTTTTCTGCAAAGGGACCAGGACGACTGATCCATGTAAAGGAAAGAATGAATGGGGCCATGTATTGTGAGATTTTGAGTGAAAACCTCCTTCCATCAGCAAGGGCATTGAAGATGAAACGTGGCTGTGTCTTTCAGCATGACAATGATCCCAAACACACCGCCCGGGCAACGAAGGAGTGGCTTCGTAAGAAGCATTTCAAGGTCCTGGAGTGGCCTAGCCAGTCTCCAGATCTCAACCCCATAGAAAATCTTTGGAGGGAGTTGAAAGTCTGTGTTGCCCAGCGACAGCCCCAAAACATCACTGCTCTAGAGGAGATCTGCATGGAGGAATGGGCCAAAATACCAGCAACAGTGTGTGAAAACCTTGTGAAGACTTACAGAAAACGTTTGACCTGTGTCATTGCCAACAAAGTGTATATAACAAAGTATTGAGAAACTTTTGTTACTGACCAAATACTTATTTTCCACCATAATTTGCAAATAAATTCATTAAAAATCCTACAATGTGATTTTCTGGATTTTTTTTCCTCATTTTGTCTGTCATAGATGACGTGTACCTATGATGAAAATTACAGGCCTCTCTCATCTTTTTAAGTGGGAGAACGTGCACAATTGGTGGCTGACTAAATACTTTTTTCCCCCACTGTAGTATTTAATACAATGATTTCAATATATAAATGGATGTCTATGTTCATCATCATCAATCTGATCATAGATTAGCTTTCTCTTGGATCCTTTAGGACGATCATTTCATCCATCGCTACGATGATCGTCCTAAAGGTTCAACCTAATAATTTGTCTGTAAATGTTGTCTCTAAATTGTGCTTCTCCGGCACTTCTCTGTGCCAGCCAGTGGTAGATGTTACCAATCTTCACCAATTCCTCTCAATTGAACCGCGTTCTCCATCTCTCATCTCTCGCTCTCTCTTCTCTCTCTCTCTATCTCTTCTCTCTCTCTCTTTCCTCTCTCTTCATCTCTCTCATTCTCTCTCTATTTTCTCTCCTTTTCTCTTTCTCTTTCTCTTTCTCTTTCTCTTTCTCTTCTCTTTCTCTGTCTCTGTCTCTGTCTCTCTCTTCTCTCTCTCTTTCTCATTTCAATTCAAAGGAGCTTTATTGGCATGGGAAACATATGAAATAAAACATCTGAAATGAACAGTAAAATATTACACTCACAAGAGTTTCAAAAGAATAGAGACATTTCAACTGTTGTATTGCTGTCCTATGTACAGTGGTGTAAGAATGTGTAAATAGTTGAAGGACCAATAGGAAAATAAATAAACATAAATATGGGTTGTATTTACAATAGTGTTTGTTCTTCACTGGTTGCCCTTTTCTTGTGGCAACAGGTCACAAATCTTGCTGCTGTGGTGGCACACTGTGGTATTTCACCTAAAAGAGATAGTAATTTCACATTCTTTGTGGGTCTATGTAATCTGAGGGAAATATGTGTCTCTAATATGGTCATACATTTGGCAGGAGGTTAGGAAGTGCAGCTCAGTCTCCACCTCATGTTGTGGGCAGTGTGCTTCTGTGTACTCTAGGAGGGAGGGACAAGATGCCGTAAGCCTGGGGGTTGGTTATAGCATGCGCTGATCGTGCATCGCTCTCTTCTTTGAGAGCGTGGAAAAAGAGAGAGAGGAGAGAAGAGAGAGCCTAAAACCCTCTCTCTCTCTCTCTCGCTCTCTCTCTCTCTCGCTCTAGTTCCCGCCGCTCTCTCTCTAGCCTAGCTGATCTCGTCTCTATGATCGCGCGATCGCTCTCCGCTTGTCTCTCTCTTCCTCTCTCTCGCTCTATCTCTCTCTCTGCAGCGCGCGAGCGACAGTAGCTCGATCGCGGGAACGGCAAGCGGGCGCGCGCGCGCTCGACAGAGAGAGAGGCGCGAGCGCGCGCGGGCGCGAGCGGGACCACGGAGAGAGGGCACAAGCGGAGCAGAGAGAAAACAGACACACAAGCGCGGGGAGGGAAGAGCAGCGAAGGAGAGAGAGAGCGGGAACAGAGAGCGAGCTGGAACGGAGAGATCGCTCGCGCGCGAGATAGTCTAGGACAGAGAGAGAGAAGAGAGAAGAGAGACAGAGAGAGAGAGAGAGCGCGAGAGAGGAGAGAGGTGGGAAAGGGAACAGAGCAGGAGAAGAGAGAGAGAGAGGGAGAAGAGAAAGAGAGAAGAGAGCGAGAGAGAGAGAGAGAGAGAGAGAGAGAGAGAGGGAGGAGAGGGAGAGAGAGGAGAGCGAAAATAGCAAAGCAACAAACCCAAGAAAGACGGGAAAGAGAGCAGAGAGGAGAAGGAAGAGGGATAAGAGAGAGAGAGAGGAGATAGGCGAGAGAGAGCGGGAGAGGAGAGAGAGAGAGATAGAGAGAAGGAGAGAGAGAGGGAGAGCGAGCGAGAGCGAGAAGACGAGAAAGGGAGAAGAGGAGAGCGAGAGAAAAAAAAAAAGAGAGAGGAGAAACCCAAAGAGAGAGACCAAGAGAGCGAGAGAGAGAGAGGCACCATAGCTCTCTCCTTCCCTCTCTCTCTCTCTCTCTCTCTCTCTCTTCTCTCTCTCTCTATCTCTCTCTCTATCTCTCTCTCTCTCTCTCTCTCTCTCTCTCTCTCTCTCCCTCACCACCACTTCCACCTTTTTCGAGCAACAAACTGAACCTGTCTTCTCTCTCCCCCCCCCTCCCCCCCTCCTCCCCCACAGAGCAAGTGGTGCTGCTCCCCAGGTCCCCCTCTGCCTCTAAAACCTACTCCCCCATCCCAGTCGACTGTCTGGAGGAGGAGACCAGGATACGATCCGCTGACGACGGCAAACTCTTCAGAGAGGAGTTCAATGTAAGGACTAATCCTCTACTACAACTACCGTCCTAGTGCTGTAATCAGTTATAGACAAACTGGTCAGAGAGGAGTTCAATGTTGGCAGTGGTGGAAAAAGTACCCAATTGTCATACTTGAGTAAAAGTATAGATACCTTAATAGAAAGTTACTCAAGTAAAAAGTGAAAGTTACCCAGGAAAATAGTACTTGAGTAAAAGTCTAAAAGTATTTGGTTTTAAATATACTTAAGTATCAAAAGTACATGTAATTGCTCAAATATACTTAAGTATCAAATATAGAAGTAAAAGTATAAATCATTTCTAATTCCTTATATTAAGCAAAGCAGACGGCTCCATTATCTTGTTTTTAAAATTTGCAGATAGCCAGAGGCACACTCCAACACTCAGACATTATTTACAAAAGATGCATGTGTGTTTTAGTGAGTCCTCCAGATTAGAGGCAGTAGGGATGACCACGTGTTCTCTTGATAAGTGTGTGAATTGGACCATTTTCCTGTCCTGCTAAGCATTCAAAATGTAATGAGTACTTTTGGTTGTCAGGGAAAATGTATGGAGGAAAAAGTACAATATTTTCTTTAGGAATGTAGTGAAGTAAAAGTTGTCAAAAATCTAAATAGTAAAGGGGCGGCAGGTAGCTTAGTGGTTAAGAGCGTTGTGCCAGTAACCGAAAGGTCGCTGGTTCTAATCCCTGAGCCGACTAGGTGAAAAATCTGTCGATGTGCCCTTGAGCAAGGCACTTACCCCTAATTGCTCCGAATAAGAGCGTCTGCTAAATGACCCAAAAAAAAAAAAACGACTTAAGTAGTATTTTTACACCACTGAATGTAGGTGCCCTCCCGTCTGGTACTCTCAGTAGATGAATGTACATTTGACATTTTAGTCATTTAGCAGACGCTCTTATCCAGAGCGACTTACAGTTAGTGAGTGCATACATCATTTATTTTTATACTGGCCCCCAATGGGAATCGAACCCACAACCCTGGCGTTGCAAACGCCGTGCTATACATCCCTGCCGGCAATTCCCTCCCCTACCCTGGACAAATTGTGCGCCGCCCCATGGGTCTCCCGGTTGCGGCCGGCTACGACAGAGCCTGGATTCGAACCAGGATCTCTAGTGGCACAGCTAGCACTGCGATGCAGTGCCTTAGACCACTGCGTCACTCGGGAGACTGGATGTACTGCTGCTCTCCTAATACTTTACTCAGTATTAGCTGACAACGGCTGTTCAGGGAGGAGTTCAATGTGAGTGTAACCCTCTCTCTCCTCTACTGATCTCAGTGCTGCTACAGCAGTAATGTACTCAGTAAATGGCCTCTCTGCCTGTCTGTCTCTCTGTCTGTCTGCCTGTCTGTCTGTCTGTCTCTCTGTCTGTCTGTCTGTCTGTCTGTCTGTCTGTCTGCCTGTCTGTCTGTCTCTCTGTCTGTCTGCCTGTCTGTCTGTCTGTCTCTCTGTCTGTCTGCCTGTCTGTGGATGAAAGATGAAATGGTCCTTAGGGCGCCACTGTAGGATGACTGTACAATGTTGGATTGGACATTGAATTGATATCAGAATCTGAGTGGTAGAATGTACTGTTAGGATTTCATTTTGATCAAGTAAGGATACTCAGCCACATTGTTGGACCCTGTATGGTTTGATATCTGGAGGAAATGAGGAAAATGATAGTGGTTCATCATGTGTCATCATGTATGACTCATTGATAAAATGTCCCTGTGTTCTATTTGGGGTTGATGATTCAGAGGGGTATATCCGTGGACGTCCAAACACAGCCTTTGGAGTTTATGATTCAGGATGATTCAGGAACTTTGGACCATAGGATCAACTCTTTGTGGGAGGTTGTCTGCGTAGAGGAAGTTTACGTCGGTCACTGTTAATGGGACTAGAGGTAGCTTAGGTTAAGGTAGCTTAGCGGTTAAGAGCGTTGTGCCAGTAAACGAAAGGTCGCTGGTTCTAATCCCCGAGCCGACTAGGTGAAAAATCTGTCGATGTGCCCTTGAGCAAGGCACTTACCCTAATTCCACTGTAAGTCGCTCTGGATAAGAGCGTCTGCTAAAAATGACTAAAATGTAAAAATGTAGAGGTTGTACAGGAAGCGTCTATATAGTGCTTTAACAAAGACCTATAGGTTACGCTATACAATGCACATACTCTGCCTGCAAGCAGGGCCTATGTAAAACTGGTAAGCTGATACGGATGGTATATTGGCCCTCCTGTAGCTCAGTTGGGAGAGCATGGCGCTTGCAACGCAAGGGTTGTGGGTTCGATTCCCACAGGGGGGCCGGTATGAAAAATGTATGCACTCACTAATTGGAAGTCGCTCTGGAAAAGAGTGTCTGCTAAATGACTAAAATGTCAATGTAATGTTATGCAAACCGTTGAACCACATGTTAGAAGTGGCGGTTGATTCAAGTTTCAACGTTTATTCGTCACGTGCACAGGATACAACAGGTGTAAAACAGGACAGTGCAGCTTAGCCTGGTCCCAGATCTGTTTGTGCTGTGGTCGTCCTACGGTTGTTGTCACAAACAGATCTGGGATCGGCCTGGTGTTACTGGCTAACTGGCTGACTGTGACTGCCTGACTGACTGGCTGGCTAACTTACTGACTGGCTGGCTAACTGGCTGACTGGCTGGCTAACTGGCTGACTGACTGGCTAACTGGCTGACTGTTACTGACTGACTGGCTAACTTACTGACTGACTGGCTAACTGGCTGTGTCAAGGGGTGCTGAAGGTGGGTGTGGTGCAGGAATCAAGCGCAGGATGCAGAAGCTAAGTCCAAAAGACTTTAGTGAGTTATTCACGTAGTACCCGAGAACAATAAGCCCGGAGGCGAAATAACGGCGCACACAGGCGTCAAACAAAAGGCGCACTAACATGTGCGAAAACCTCTCCAAACACGGAGGGAAGATACGTAGCTCAGAACACCAAACAGAGGAGCAATCACATACACACACAACGAGAACTAAATAGGACACTAATGAGGACTAACTAGACACCGGTGTACAACATCCAGACAAAACCAAACGAACATGAAACATAGATCGGTGGCAGCTAGTACTCCGGGGACGACGACCGCCGAAACCTGCCCGAACAAGGAGGAGGAGCAGCCTCGGCCGAAACCGTGACAGGCTGACTGTGAATGGCTGTCTGGCTGGCTGTGACTGACTGACTGTGGTGTGTTCTGTTTTGTTTTCAGTCATTGCCTGCTGGATATACCCAGGGGACATGTGAGGAGGCCAACAAGGAAGTCAACAAAGAAAAGAACAGATATCCCAACATCCTTCCATGTGAGGCTCCAGCTCGTTCTCTCTAGATTCATATCATTAACTAGTGTGAAAAGATCATGTTGATAGTCGTTTGGAGCCACACCTTCTCTGTGTGTAGAAAGCAACATTTCCTGTGTGTATATATATATATATATATATTTGCAGAGCATTAGTCAAAGTTATTTTGGCATCGGTCAGTGACGTGTAAACATAGCAGCGGTAGTTCTATAGCCTCACAGAATCTCTTCTCTTTCTGCCTGCACTCTTCTTCCTTTTGACAGTTTCACTTCCTCTTTGTCTATTCATTCATTAACCCTGAGGCATGAGTCCATTTTATATATACCGAGACCAGGCTGCAATTTTGTCATCTTTGCTCCGACTTTTAGGATCTATTCAATACATAATGAATAGAGATCAAGGAACTGTCTTTACACACATTTGACCAGTTTTACCTACTGGAATTGTTTGTCCAAAATGTTGTGTAGAATGCCCTAAACTGTCCATGTCTTGTAAACAGATGACCATTCCAGGGTGGTGTTAACACAGCTAGATGGAAACCTCTGTTCGGACTACATCAACGCTTCATATATCGATGTGAGTTGGGGATCTAGATTTTTTATTTGTGTTCTTGGTAGGCCTAAATAAGCACATGCTGGTTGAGGCTGGGATAATATATATATATATAATAATATTAATTAGAAATCATATATACAGTTGAAGTCGGAAGTTTACATACACCTTAGCTAAATACATTTAAACTCAGTTTTTTCACAATTCCTGACATTTAATCCTAGTAAAAATTCCCTGTCTTAGGTCAGTTAGGATCACCACTTTATTTTAAGAATGTGAAATGTCAGAATAATAGTAGAGAGAATTATTTATTTCAGCTTTTATTGCTTTCATCACATTCCCAGTGGGTCAGAAGTTTACATACACTCAATTAGTATTTGGTAGCATTGCCTTTAAATTGTTTAACTTGGGTCAAACGTTTCGGGTAGCCTTCCACAAGCTTCCCACAATAAGTTGGGTGAATTTTGGCCCATTCCTCCTGACAGAGCTGGTGTAACTGAGTCAGGTTTGTAGGTCTCCTTGCTCGCACACACTTTTTCAGTTCTGCCCGCACATTTTCTATAGGCTTGAGGTCAGGGCTTTGTGATGGCCACTCCAATACCTTGACTTTGTTGTCCTTAAGCCATTTTGCCACAACTTTGGAAGTATGCTTGGGGTCATTGTCCATTTGGAAGACCCATTTGCGACCAAGCTTGAACTTCCTGACTGATGTCTTGAGATGTTGCTTCAATATATCCACATAATTTTCCTTCCTCATGATGCCATCTATTTTGTGAAGTGCACCAGTCCCCTTCTGCAGCAAAGCAGCCCCCACAGCATGATGCTGCCACCCCCGTGCTTCACGGTTGGGATGGTGTTCTTCGGCTTGCAAGCCTTCCCCTTTTTCCTCCAAACATAACGATGGTCATTATGGCCAAACAGTTCTATTTTTGTTTCATCAGACCAGAGGACATTTCTCCAAAAATTACGATCTTTGTCCCCATGTGCAGTTGCAAACCGTAGTCTGGCTTTTTTATGGCGGTTTTGGAGCAGTGGCTTCTTCCTTGCTGAGCAGCCTTTCAGGTTATGTCGATATAGGACTCGTTTTACTGTGGATATAGATACTTTTGTACCTGTTTCCTCCAGCATCTTCACAAGGTCCTTTGCTGTTGTTCTGGGATTGATTTGCACTTTTCACACCAAAGTACGTTCATCTCTAGGAGACAGAACGTGTCTCCTTCCTGAGCAGTATGACGGCTGCGTAGTCCCATGGTGTTTATACTTGCATAGTATTGTTTGTACAGATGAACGTGGTATCTGGATGAACCAGACTTGTGGAGGTCTTGGCTGATTTATTTTGATTTTCCCATGATGTCAAGCAAAGAGGCACTGAGTTTGAAGATGAGCCTTGAAATGCATCCACAGGTACACCTCAAATTGACTCAAATGATGTCAATTAGCCTATCAGAAGCTTCTAAAGCCATGACATCATTTTCTGGAATTTTCCAAGCTGTTTAAAGGCACAGTCAACTTAGTGTACGTAAACTTCTGACCCACTGGAATTGTGATACAGTGAATTATAAGTGATATAATCTGTCTGTAAACAATTGTTGGAAAAATTACTTGTGTCATGCACAAAGTAGATGTCCTAACCGACTTGCCAAAACTATAGTTTGTTAACAAGAAAGGTGTGGAGTGGTTGAAAAACGAGTTTTAATGACTCCAACCTAAGTGTATGTAAACTTCCGACTTCAACTGTATCAGTATATTATAGAATATTTCATGTTATTATTTCAACCGAAACAAGACCAGTTTTCTTTGTAATGTTATTAATTAACAGTGTTTTTTTTCTTTCTTTGTTAGGGCTACACGGACAAAAACAAATTCATTGCAGCACAAGGTAAGGAAATGGATGTTGTGGTGCAGCAAATATCTGATTAAAGTGTCAGGTGTGTCTTCCAAATGTAATAAGACAAGAAAATAATGATCACTTTTAATAATATAATAATATGCCATTTAGCAGACGCTTTTATCCAAAGCGACTTACAGTCACGTGTGCATACATTTTTACGTATGTGTGGTCCCGGGGATCGAACCCACTACCCTGGCGTTACAAGCACCGTGCCTCTACCAGCTGAGCTACAGAGGACCACTTTGCATTTTCTGATGTGTGTGCTGGTGCAGTATGTCAACAGAGATGGATGGGTTAATGAGGTCAATGCGCTGTTGTGTTCCAGGTCCAAAACAAGACACAGTAGCAGACTTCTGGAGGATGATATGGGAACAGAAGACAGCCACTATCGTCATGCTGACCAACCTGAAAGAGAGGAAAGAGGTGAGTGGTTACTTTCTCACTTTTAGAGTGTAGCACACTGTCACTTTCACTTTGCTTTGAGTTTCTCTATAATGTTATACCAGCACCAGAAATACATTCACTTGGGGGAGAGGACACTAGGACGGCTACACGAAGACACCAACACGACGCCGACAGGACGACGGACACGAATACGAGCGACGACACACCAACACAAGCCGAGCGGACGACGACACGAAGACGAGATGACGACGACACGAAGCCGAGAGGACGACTGACACGAAGACTAGAGGAGACGACACGAAGCCGAGAGGACGAAGACACGAAGGCCGAGAGGACGACGACTACGAAGGACTAGAGGACGGTACGAGCACGAAGCCGAGAGGCCGACGACACCAACCACAAGCCGACAGGAGACGAACGAAGCCGAGAGGGACGACGACACGAAGCCGAGAGGAGGACGACACGAAGACGAGAGGAGGACGACACGAAGAGGAGAGGACACGACACCAAAAACGAAGCCGAGAGGACGCGACACGAGAAGAAGGCGAGAGGAGACGACACAAACACGAAGCCTAGAGGAGACGAATTGAAGCCGAAGAGGCCGACGGACACCAACACGAAGCCAGAGGACGACGACACGAACACAATCCGAGGACGACTACACCAAGACGAAGCGAGAGGACGAGACATCGAAGTGTACGAAGCCGTATGACACGACAGAAGTACGAAGCCGATAGTACTACGACACTAGATAAGGACGGAGAGGAGACTACACCAATACTAATCATATATACTACGACCTAATACTAATCCTATAGGATACTTACCACTAATACTAACCGATATTAATGTACTACACGAATACTAATTCCGATATGACGACTGACACTAATCATAGAGTACTACTACCACCAAACACTAATCCTATGTTACTACTACACTAATCCTATATTACTACTACACTAATACTATATACCTACTACACCAACACTAATCCTATATTACTACTACACTAATACTAATCCTATATTACTACTACACTAACACATTGCTGCTACACTTGTCTTTGCCAGAGTGCCCTCAAGCCTCAAGTCAAGCCATCCATTTCCACTTCGGTCTCACTTCCCAATCTCTCCTTAAACAGAAGAGGTCATCTGTCTCCATGTGTACTCTCCCCTGTGACCAGTCCCGAGGAGCTTTGAGAGAGAGAGAGAGAGAGAGAGAGAGAGAGAGAGAGATCAATAAAAACAGAAAGGAAAGGAGATTAAAATCAGCTTTTGTGCGGCTCTGAATCGATGATTAAATAGTGGCTAATAAAGACCTCTGAGTCTTTATCATAATTAGTCATCAAACTCTCATTAAGTGGTTTTAGACTGGCTAATTCTGATTGACTGGCATTCTTTACTGCACTCAGTGTCTTACAAGTCACCTTTAGGATGGTGATGCATTCAATACACACAGGGAGGGAGCCAGGCCCTTCTGTCGCCCTAGGCCAGGCCTCCTATACCCCGCAAATCTAGAATAGTCCCAGTAAGCAAAATTATGTTGAAAAGACATCTAAAATAGGTATTTTCCAGACATTGAAGTTAGGTTCATTAAGGTTCTGATTTGGTTCGGTCTGGACCAGCCTTGATTTGCTCCAAACATTGACGTCTATGATTGGCTCAGATTTGGTCCAATCAAGGCTGGTCCAATCAAGGCTGGTCCTACCGCATCAAATCTGAACCAAGTATAGACGTCAATGATTGGTTCAAGGCCAGTCCGGACCTCACAAAGAAACCACACAAAAAAGACGCCGGGACAGGACCAGAAAAAATACTTCCAAAAAGCATTGGCGTCTGTCTGTGCTTACTGCGGTGTTGCCTACAGTGTCAATTGTATGAATGCCCATCCTTGTGGTAGACCTACCGTTATTAGTCATGATTCCTGTGACTAATCAATTCGGCTATTTGTGACTCGTTTCAGGAAACTAGGTGTATTGTCGGGTGTCACTAATTCACAGGAGAGCCATTTGAACAAAATGCATTTTTTTTGGCAGAAATGCCTTCTGGAACATGTGAACTTTCATGTGCCTTAATAACAAACTTGTATACCATCTGAAAATACAAATACAGTTGTAAAATTATGAGCCTAGTTGGTTTAGCCACGGAAAAAGACAGCAACATTCCCGCTAGCCATGATTGGCTGAGATAATGAGTGGGCTGGACATGCCGAGAGATGAGTTCGGATTGGTCTGCCATGAATGTAGCATGCTTCTGTCTATAACATGAGCTGGTCAGTATGTGTAGGTCATCCTTTCTAATGCGGCTTTTTTGAAAGATATCACTTAATAGAACTGCATAAGTGTTGCTCTCCACTTTTTGGAGGACTGAGTTTTGGAATCAGTGGAATTAGAGTATGATAGCTAAGGAGATGGAGAAAATTATGGCATTTGATTGCAAATATGCAGACGGAGTCGAAAAGAGAACACACAGAAGGCTGTTGTATAAAACATCAGTCTCCGGATTACATCTTCAAACTAAGGGCAACCGTGGCATCCGTGACAGAGAGGGAGAAACGTTCCATTCATGTATACGGGTAAGACAGTCTAGCTAGCTAAATTTTCAGATATTACACGTTTCTAATTATGTCAGAAAGTCGTTTTCATTTTAAGTTAAAATGTACTGTTAGCTAGCTAGCTAACGTTAGCTGGCTGGCTCGCTAGCTAACGTTACATGTCTGATCTGTGTAGTAATATTATTCGTATCTCAGAGCCATTTGCATTGCTAGTTATAGCCTAATGTTAGCTAGCTAACGTTGAACCTGGTTGGTTAGCTACCTGCATATTCATGCAGGGTTAGTAATGTTATGAGTTGGGATTATGGTTCATTGTTTAGCTAGCTAGCTAGCTACATGTCTAAACAAAACTGTGCAAATAACCAGTTAACAATAGAATGTTCATGATGTCACTGCGACAACTGTCGATAGACGTAGCTGGTAAATTCGCTCTGGCTATCTACTCCTATTTCAGAGTACTCTCATCTGAGTGTGCCAGATCGCAGAATAACCGACAAATGTACGAACGCTCAACACCCGTTGAGTATGGCCGGTGTCAGTAAACGTTGGCAAAAAAGCGTAATTAAGTTGTTGCCAGCAGCACAGTTGCAGTCACCAACGCTCTGGATATCATAAAAAAAGCCTAACCAGCTCTGCTAGGATGATTAAAATGGTCAGAGTGAGCTGTTCTCTCATTTGTGTCTGGAAGTAGCTAGCAAACTAGCCAACGTTAGCCAGTTAGCTTGGGTGCTTGACTGCTGTTGTTACGTCAGAACGCTCAGATCAACCCTACTCCTCGGCCGGAGCGTCCAGTGTGCGCTCTGAACGCTCCGAGAGCGAAACGCTCTGAATTTCTGAACGGCCAATCTGACAACGCTCTGAGTTTACGAACACTCTGGCACTCCAGATTAAATGTTCGAATACACCCGTAGTATAAACCAGCCTTTAGTCTCCACCCGTAGTATAAACCAGCCTTTAGTCTCCACCCGTAGTATAAACCAGCCTTTAGTCTCCACCCGTAGTATAAACCAGCCTTTAGTCTCCACCCGTAGTATAAACCAGCCTTTAGTCTCCACCCGTAGTATAAACCAGCCTTTAGTCTCCACCCGTAGTATAAACCAGCCTTTAGTCTCCACCCGTAGTATAAACCAGCCTTTAGTCTCCACCCGTAGTATAAACCAGCCTTTAGTCTCCACCCGTAGTATAAACCAGCCTTTAGTCTCCACCCGTAGTATAAACCAGCCTTTAGTCTCCACCCGTAGTATAAACCAGCCTTTAGTCTCCACCCGTAGTATAAACCAGCCTTTAGTCTCCACCCGTAGTATAAACCAGCCTTTAGTCTTGAAATCTTTGGTTGTTTAGTACATGGCCTCACATGGGAATCCTTAAAGAGATGGGTGGGTCTAAAGCTTAAGAAGGTGTGAACGATGCTGAATGGGTGTAGACAAAGAAGAGCTCTCCAGTAGGTGTACCAAAACATTCAAGGGCTATTTTCTCAAAAGTGATTTTACAAGTTTATCAACTTTCAAAGCAGAATTACTTTCCCAGTGTTCCTCAACTGTAGTGTACGATGTACCTTTTTTTTTTGCTCTGGGTCTCTACTTTTATCCGATGTAAAAAAATAAAAATAAAAAGAGAGAGAGAGAGAGAGAGAGAGAGAGTGGTGAGAGAGAGAGAGAGAGAGTGTGAGAGAGAGAGTGTGAGAGAGAGTGTGAGAGAGAGAGAGAGAGAGAGAGAGAGAGAGAGAGAGAGTTGAGAGAGAGAGTGTGAGAGAGAGAGTGTGAGAGAGAGAGTGTAGAGAGGAGAGAGAGAGAGAGAGAGAGAGAGAGAGAGAGAGAGAGAGAGGGGTGTGTGCACTTTTTTTTTATGTGTTTACCCAGCAGGAAATGCAAAAGTAATTTCTTTTTCACTATGCCTGTAGGCTACAGAAAAGGCCACATACTCTTTCTACCATAGGCTATATCTGCTACATGATTTACGTTCGATAATATTTTTGACGGAATGTTGGTGGTGCGCAGCAGCGATGCGTCTCTCCAACAGCACCCTGGAGAGGCATGCTGGGATATGGACAAGCAAACATATTTTTGCGCCCCTGCCTTTAACAAAGTGGGCACCGCTTATCACAGGGCGGCATCAGCGCTCGCCTAAAAAGCCCATATGCCACTGGTTGAGATACATTGTCATTATTTTGGGGCAGAATTGTGTGAGGTTTTATGTGTTGCTGGATGGTCAGATTCACTTGGAAGATGCTGCCCTTGTCAATCTGCTGCCATAGGTGGCCACCTAATCCTGTCTAATGGGCGGGCCGGCTCCGGAGGGAGCGCTTCCTTCTCACTCTAATAGGTTGAAGAGTCAGGGGGAGCTAAGATGTCAAGACAGATTTCCCCCTTGTGTGAACTAATAGAATATAATACCACAATATTGTCTTATCTTCTATATTTTCCAATTCCAATTGTCTTCGCTGCTTTTCAAAAAGGAAAATGTATCATTAAATTTGAATTTTGTCATTTCGGAATTGACTGGAATTAGAATGGAACTGACTCCAACCCTGTTTTGTACTAAGTAGGGTGCCAGTATAGACATTGGGACATACTCTATGATTAGAACCTGAGTGACTCATTGCTTCCCTGTTTGTGTTTCCCCCACTAGGACAAGTGTTACCAGTACTGGCCAGACCAGGGCTGTTGGACCTATGGCAATGTCCGGGTGGCTGTGGAAGACATTACTGTGCTGGTGGACTACACCATACGGAAGTTCTGCATACAATATGTAAGTGCAACGCTCAGCCCAGTCTAAGCTATTCGCTGCTCTGGCACCCCAATGGTGGAACAAGCTCCCCCACGACGCCAGGACAGCGGAGTCACTGACCACCTTCCGGAGACACTTGAAACCCTACCTCTTTAAGGAATACTTGGAATAGTATAACAGTAATCCTTCTACCCCCCCCCCCCCCCCCCCTCCCCCCCCCCCAAGTGGTCCCCCCATAAGTTGAATGCACCAATTTGTAAGTCGCTCTGGATAAGAGCGTCTGCTAAATGATGTAAAATGTAAGTTATTATTAGATGGTAATCATGTGGTTGGAGATGTGGAAGTGGGTGTTATTCGATTGTGACAGTACTGTAGGTTTGGTTGGAAATGTAAGCGCTTGCCTATCCTATAGTTAGTCACTTGTAGTAATACTAATGTGATACTAATAAGTATTTGACTGTAAATATGTAACCTACAGAGCTCCACAACACGATGGCCGTAGCAGTCTTATCAAACTTAAAGGTTGTGCTGTAAACTGTGTGTTCTTGTGTTGCGTGAATAGAGTAGACTACAGATATAGGATCATCATTTAATCACTCTTTTGTTGCTGAGAATTTTCCTGCACGGCAGGAAAATGCAAAGCTGTATTTTTTAAAGGCGTTTAAAGTTTGTAATTCCCTTTTTAACATCTTACACTTGATTTGCCCTAACGAAAAATGTATCAACCCCTACAACAATGTCCATTTAATTATAATACACATGATAATTCACATTTCCTGTTGCTGCAGGATTATTTTCCTGCTGTAGCAAACTGGCTCAAATTAAGATCCTACATCTGTACAACACAACACATGACCCACAGAGTCACAGGACTATCAAAGCCTACTGCTGCTACTGATCCCCAGTGACTCACTCTAATTCAAAGACCCTCCCGCCCAGGGCCCAAGGTCGAAGGTCGGGGACAGGGTCTGTTGTGTGTGCAGCCTGCTGGCCACCACAAGTGTTCCATGTCCCCGAGCTCACGCTACTCAGTGGTTGTCCGTGGTTTGGCACAGGCCAGCCGGGCTAGTAGCTAGTACCACCATTTTTACTTGCCTGGATGACATTATACTAGCTTACACTCTTAGAAAAAAAAGCTGTTATCTACAACCTAATGGCTGTCCTCATAGGAGAACCCTTTGAAGAACCCTTTTTGGTTTCAGGTAGAACCCTTTTTGGTTCCATGCAGAACCCTTTCCACAGAGGTAGTATCTGGTTTATAGTAATGACTCTCTATGTAGTATCTGGTTTATAGTAATGACTCTATGTAGTATCTGGTTTATAGTAATGACTCTCTATGTAGTATCTGGTTTATAGAAATGACTACCTATGTAGTATCTGGTTTATAGTAATGACTCTATGTAGTATCGGTTATAGTAATGACTGGATCTCTTCTATGATCTAGTAGTATCTGGTTATAGTAATGACTCTATGTAGTATTGGTTATAGTAATGACTCTATGTAGTATCTGTTATAATAATGATCTATGTAGATGGTTTATAGTAATGACTCTATGTAGTATCTGGTTTATAGTAATGACTTATGTAGTATCTGGTTTACTTTAGTAAGTGACTCTATGTAGTATCTGGTTTATAGTAATGACTCTATGTAGTATTGGTTTATAGTAATGACTCTATGTAGTATCTGGTTTATTAGAATGACTCTATGTAGTATTTAAGGATTCTAGTAGTATCTGGTTTATAGTAATGACTCCTATGTAGTATCTGGTTTATAGTAATGACTCTATGTAGTATCTGGTTTACAGTAATGACTCTATGTAGTATCTGGTTTATAGTAATGACTCTATGTAGTATCTGGTTTACAGTAATGACTCTATGTAGTATCTGGTTTATAGTAATGACTCTTATGTAGTATCTGGTTTATAGTAATGACTCTATGTAGTATCTGGTTTATAGTAATGACTCTATGTAGTATCTGGTTTATAGTAATGACTCTATGTAGTATCTGGTTTATAGTAATGACTCTCTATGTAGTATCTGGTTTATAGTAATGACTCTATGTAGTATCTGGTTTATAGTAATGACTCTATGTAGTATCTGGTTTATAGTAATGACTCTATGTAGTATTTGGTTTATAGTAATGACTCTTATGTAGTATCTGGTTATAGTAATGACTCTATGTAGTATCTGGTTTATAGTAATGACTCTATGTAGTATCTGGTTTATAGTAATGGACTCTATGTAGTATCTGGTTTATAGTAATGACTCTATGTAGTATCTGGTTATAGTAATGACTCTATGTAGTATCTGGTTTATAGTAATGACTCTATGTAGTATCTGGTTTATAGTAATGACTCTATGTAGTATTTGGTTTATAGTAATGACTCTATGTAGTATCTGGTTTATAGTAATGACTTCTATGTAGTATCTGGTTTATAGTAATGACTCTCTATGTAGTATCTGGTTTATAGTAATGACTCTCTATGTAGTATCTGGTTTACAGTAATGACTCTATGTAGTATCTGGTTTATAGTAATGACTCTATGTAGTATCTGGTTTACAGTAATGACTCTATGTAGTATCTGGTTTATAGTAATGACTCTGTACTGTTAGTAGATCTTGGTAGTATCTGTTAAGTAATGACTCTATGTAGTATCTGGTTTATAGTAATGACTACCTAATGTAGTATCTGGTTTATAGTAATGACTCTATGTAGTATCTGGTTTATAGTAATGACTCTCTATGTAGTATCTGGTTTATAGTAATGACTACCTATGTAGTATCTGGTTTATAGTAATGACTCTCTATGTAGTATCTGGTTTATAGTAATGACTCTCTATGTAGTATCTGGTTTATAGTAATGACTACCTATGTAGTATCTGGTTTATAGTAATGACTCTCTATGTAGTATCTGGTTTATAGTAATGATTCTCTATGTATTATCTGGTTTATAGTAATGACTCTATGTAGTATCTAGTTTATAGTAATGACTCTATGTAGTATCTGGTTTATATTAATGATTCTCTATGTAGTATCTGGTTTATAGTAATGACTCTCTATGTAGTATCTGGTTTATAGTAATGATTCTCTATGTAGTATCTGGTTTACAGTAATGACTCTATGTAGTATCTGGTTTACAGTAATGACTCTGTATGTCTGCTCTGTGTGTCCTCTCCTGTAGCAGGCCAGTGACGGCACCAAGCCCTCCAGGCTGGTCACCCAGCTCCACTTCACCAGCTGGCCTGATTTTGGGGTGCCCTTCTCCCCCATCGGCATGCTCAAGTTCCTCAAGAAAGTCAAGACGGTCAACCCGTCCTTCGCTGGTCCCATCATGGTCCACTGCAGGTACCTTATACTGGGATGTAGTCTTTCAGACATTTCAACTGTTTTAGTGTACATAGTAACCTCAAGGTTACATTCCCACCTATCTTTAGTGAGAGAGATCTAACTACCATTCTAATATTCTCAGACGCTAAATAGTTGACTCCTTGGCCTTCTCTGTCCTTTGTCTCTGCAGTGCTGGTGTGGGAAGGACAGGGACCTTCATTGTGATTGACGGTGTGATTGACATGATGCACCAAGAGCAGAAGATTGACGTCTTTGGTTTTGTGTCCAAGATAAGAGACCAGCGCTCACAGCTTGTGCAGACGGACGTGAGTAGGGTGAAATAAACAGCAGGGTCACAACACTATTTCCTGCAAGGCGTCAGTCTATGTTACTCTTAGTACTGGGACTAGCAATATGTCCAAAAGTAAGTTCTAAATGTGTATTTGTAAAGTAAACTATAAAAAATAGAGGTCCAAGAATCTATCCCTGTGGAACAGCACACTTCTTCTTCTTCTCTTCTTCTCTTCTTCTTCTTCTTCTTCTTCTTCTTCTTCTTCTTCTTCTTCTTCTTCTCTTCAGCTTAATCATCTCTTCTTCTTCTTCTTCTTCAGCTTAATCATCTTCTTCTTCTTCTTCTCTTCAGCTTAATCATCTTCCTTCTTCTGCTTCTTCTTCTTCTTCTTCAGCTTAATCATCTTCTTCTTCTTCTTCTTCTTCTTCTTCTTCTTCTTCTTCTTCTTCTTCTTCTTCTAGTGCTCTAAATATGTGTTTTGTCTTCCTCTGTGGCCTCCAGATGCAGTACTCGTTCATCTATCAGGCCCTGTTGGAATACTACCTCTACGGCGACACAGAGCTGGACGTGTCATCTCTGGAAGGACACCTGCACAAACTCCACAACACCCACGCCCCCTTGGACAGGGTCGGTCTGGAGGAGGAGTTCAAAGTGAGAGCCGGGGGTCCTGTCTCTCTGACATGGTTATAGTAGATGAGATATAGCCCCTTCGCTACGTGCAATTTAGGATCCTTGAAAATCTATGTATGACTATAATAGCAATTGTGGCATCGTGTATAAATTATTCTATATTAGTTTGCATTTCCATTATCTTGAAATATTTGATATGCTGATAAATGTATTTTACGTGTACTTTTACACCCTGACAATTTTCTGTCCCCTCCCCACCTCCAGAAACTGACCAACATGCGGATAATGAAGGAGAACATGAGGATGGGAAATCTCCCTGCCAACATGAAGAAGAACAGAGTGCTCCAGATTATTCCATGTAAGGAACGCCGGAAAAAGTTACAACACACAAACTGAATCCCAGTCTGTTTCCCCAGTCCAGTAGCACCACGTTGCGTCATGCAGTATTGTTTAACGTGTGACAGATTGTGACCCACAGATTATATTGTGTTCATGTCAACCTTTCAGAACGAGAAGAGAGATATTATTAAATCTCTTATTCCCTTGGTTCTCTTACCTAAACTGCATTCATGCAGAAGTAGCCAGGAAATCCACTGTATAATGTACCTTTTCATATTTGGTATTGATATATTTAAACCTGCATGGGACTGACGTTGAGAGATCGTTTATCCGGTCATCTTGTGGTTTTATCTGATAAAACGCTTTTTTTTTTTTTTTTTTTTTTTTTGCTGTTCTTTGGGTTGAGTGATGCGTTTTTCATTGCCTTGCCTCTGAGCTTGCAAATAGTGTTTGGGAAATGGGATCCGAACAAGCCTTTTTTAGGTTGCATCTCAAAGGGCACCCTATTCTCTGTTTAGTGCACTACTTTGGACCAGGGTTCATAGGGCTCGGAATTAATGCCTGAACTTATCTTTTGGTTAAGATATGGCACAATGTGCCGTAATTAAAAACGGCGCCACACAGGTCGTAATCTACAGACGGCGCCACACAGCGTAATTAAAACGCCAAGCCATGTCGTAATTCTGCAGTTACGATGATGAGGGGTCGTGTTTTATTTGGAGAGTTGCAATGTTATGTGATTGATATACTCTATGTACTGTCTTTGTAGTTATCTCCCGTTTTAATATTTTATTTTGATCTTGAATTTATTTTTCAGATGACTTCAACAGAGTGATTGTGTCCATGAGAAGAGGCCAAGAGTTTACCGACTACATCAACGCATCTTTTATAGACGTAAGTAAACATTACAATACTCACTACTACACCAATGAGTAAATGTGAATCAATGTCACATTTGTTCTCAGTTCTTATATATATATTTTTTTGCAGTATATTAAAGTATATATTCATACACTGCAATCTGCAAAGTTTCAAGGAAGTTGTACCGATGTAACATGGGGGGTAATGACTGTACCGTATGCTGTGGTGGGGGGTCCTCAGGGCTACAGGCAGAAGATGTAACATGGGGGGTAATGACTGTACCGTATGCTGTGGTGGGGGGTCCTCAGTGTACAGGCAAGAAGATGTAACATGGGGGGTAATGACTGTACCGTATGCTGTGGTGGGGGGTCCTCAGGGCTACAGGCAGAAGATGTAACATGGGGGTAATGACTGTACCGTATGCTGTGGTGGGGGGTCCTCAGGGCTACAGGCAGAAGATGTAACATGGGGGGTAATGACTGTACCGTATGCTGTGGTGGGGGGTCCAGGGCTACAGGCAGAAGATGTAACAGGGGGGGGGGTAGACTGTAAGTGCTTGTGGGGGGGGGTGACCTGGGGGGTAGTCGAGTGTGGTGGGGGGTCCTCAGGGCTACAGGCAGAAGATGTAAATGGGGGGTAATTGACTGTACCGTATGCTGTGGTGGGGGTCCTCAGGGCTACAGGCAGAAGATGTAACCATGGGGGGTAATGACTGTACCGTATGCTGTGGTGGGGGGTCCTCAGGGCTACAGGCAGAAGATGTAACATGGGGGGTAATGACTGTACCGTATGCTGTGGTGGGGGGTCCTCAGGGCTACAGGCAGAAGATGTAACATGGGGGGTAATGACATAGTACCGTATGCTGTGGTGGGGGTCCTCAGGGCTACAGGGCAGAAGATTGTCACATGGGGGGTAATGACTTGTACCGTATGCTGTGGTGGGGGGTCCTCGGGCTACAGGCAGACCGTACCGGAGCTGTGATCCTTACAGGCATGTAACATGGGGGGTAATGACTGTACCGTATGCGTGTGGTGGGGGTCCTCAGGGCTACAGGCAAGACAGGCAGAAGGATGGCTGATTAAGCGATTCACTGTGCTTACAGGGAGGAGACGGACGTATTTGGGCCTGGGACAGGCAAGGGCACTTCAATCGACCCAGGGGGGTCTCACACGTGGAGGCTACTGAAGGTGGGCGGGAGGGGCGATTCCATCGTAATGCTGACTGAATACAGAGAAGGGAAGTGAAGGTATTCCAAAGAAATGTCATTTAATTTGTTATTTAAAAGTAAAAAAAATATTTAACCTTTATTTGACTAGGCAAATCAGATTTACAAATTCTTATTTACAATGACGGCCTACCAAGAGGCAAAAGGCCTCCTGCGGGGACGGGGGCTGGGATTAAAAATAAAAATATAGGACAAAACACACATCACGACAAGAGAGACACCACAACACTACATAAAGAGAGAGCCACAAACACTACATAAAGAGAGACACCACAACCTACATAAAGAGAGAACCACAACACTACATAAAGAGAGACAACCACAACACTACATACAAGAGAGACCCCCACAACACTACATAAAGAGAGACACCACAACACTACATAAAGAGACACCACAACACTACATAAAGAGAGGGCACCACAACACTACATAAAGAGAACCACAACACTACATAAAAAGAGACGCCACAAACACTACATAAAGAGAGACACCACAACACTACATAAAGAGAGACCCACACACACTACATAAAGAGAGACGCCACAACACTACATAAAGAGAGACACCACAACACTACATAAAGAGAGACACCACAACACTACATAAAGAGAGACACCACAACACTACATAAAGAGAGACCACCACAAAAACTACATAAAGAGAGACACCACAACACTACATAAAGAGAGACACCACAACACTACATAAAGAGAGACACCAAACACTACATAAAGAGAGACCCACAACACTACATAAAGAGAGACGCCCACAACACTACATAAAGAGAGACGGCCACAACACTACATAAAGAGAGACACCACAACAACTACACATAAAGAGAGACACCACCCACACTACATAAAGAGGACGCCACAACACTACATAAAGAGAGACGGCCACAACACTAATAAAGAGAGACACCACAACATACATAAGAGAGACACCCCAACACTACATAAAGAGAGACGCCACAACACTACATAAAGAGACACCCACAACACTACATAAAGAGAGCACCACCACAACACTACATAAAGAGAGACACCCACAACACTACATAAAGAGAACCACAACACTACATAAAGGAGAGACCACAACACTACATAAAGAGAGACGCCACAACACTACATAAAGAGAGACCACCACAACACTACATAAAGAGAGACACCACAACACTACATAAAGAGAGGACGCCACAACACTACATAAAAAGAGAGACCACAACACTACATAAAGAGAGACGCCACAACACTACATAAAGAGAGACGCCACAACACTACATAGAGAGTCCACCACACATGAGACACCAAACCTAATAAAGATAGACATCAACACTACATAGAGAGAGGACAAAACACTACATAAAGAGAACACCACAACATACTAAAGAGAGACACCACAACACTACATAAAGAGAGACGCCACAAACACTACATAAAGAGAGACGCCACAACACTACATAAAGAGAGACACCACAACACTACATAAAGGAGACACCACAACACTACATAAAGAGAGACACCACAACACTACATAAAGAGAGACACCACAACACTACATAAAGAGAGACACCACAACACTACATAAAGAGAGACGCCACAACACTACATAAAGAGAGACACCACAACACTACATAAAGAGAGACACCACAACACTACATAAAGAGAGACACCACAACACTACATAAAGAGAGGACCACCACAACACTACTAAAGAGGACACCACAACACTACATAAAGAGAGACACCACAACACTACATAAAGAGAGACACCACAACACTACATAAAGAGAGACGCCAACAAACACTACATAAAGAGCGACACCACAACACTACATAAAGAGAGACGCCACAACACTACATAAAGAGAGACGCCACAACAACTACATAAGAGAGGACACCACAACCACTACATAAAGAGAGACACCACAACACTACTAAAGAGAGACGCCACACACTACATAAGAGACACCACCACACTACATAAAGAGAGACCCACAACACACATAAAGAGGACACCCACAACATACAGAAAGAGAGACACACAACACTAATAAAGAGAGAACCACAACACTACATAAAGACACCACGAGAACACATCTAAAAGACTGGGACAACACTCACTACATAAAGAGAGACACCACAACACTACATAAAGAGAAGAGACTACAACACTACTTAAAGAGAGACACCACAACATACATAAAGAGAGCACAAAACACTACATAAAGCGAGACGCCACAACACTACATATAATCTGTGGGTCACAATCTGTCACACGGTTAAGAAATTGCATGAGCAACGTTGTACTGGACTGGGAAAGACTGGGATTCAGTTTGTGTGTTGTAACTTTTTCCGGGCGTTCCTTAAATGGAATAATCTGGGCACTCTGTCTTCTTCATTTGGCTGGGAGATTTCCCCTCCTCCTGTTCTCCTTCCTTATCCATTTTCGGTCAGTTTCTGGAGGTGGGGAGGGGACAGAAAATTGTCAGGGTGTAAAAGTACACGTAAAATACATTTATCAGGATATCAAATATTTCAAGATAATGGAAATGCAAACTAATATAGAATAATTTATACACGATGCCACAATTGCTATTATAGTCATACATAGATTTTCAAGGATCCTATATTGGCCCCAGTGATGTACTAGGCCGTACGCACTGCCCTCTGTAGCGCATTACGGTCGGAGGCCAAGCAGTTGCCATACCAGGCGGTGATGCAACCGGTCAGGATGCTCTCGTTGGTGCAGCTGTAGAACCTTTTGAGGATCTGAGAGCCCATACCAAATCTTTTCAGTCTCCTGAGGGGAAAAGGTGTTGTGGTGCCCTCTTCACGACTGTCTTGGTGTTTTTGGACCATTATAGTTTGTTGGTGATGTGGACACCAATGAACTTGAAACTCTCGACCCACTCCACTACATCCCCATCGATGTTAAATGGGGGCCTGTTCGGCCCTCCTTTTCCTGTAGTCCACGATCAGCTCCTTTGTCTTGCTCACATTGAGGGAGAGGTTGTTGTCCTGGCACCACACTGCCAGGTCTCTGACCTCCTTGGTGATCAGGCCTACCATTATTGTGTCGTCAGCAAACTTAATGATGGTGTTGGAGTCATGCCTGGCCATGCAGTCATGGGTGAACAGGGAGTACATGAGGGGACTGAGCACGCACCCCTGAGGGGCCCCTGTGTTGAGGATCAGCGTGGCAGATGTGTTGTGCCTACCCTTACCAGCTGGGGGTGGCCCGTCAGGAAGTCCAGGATCCAGTTGCAGAAGGAGGTGTTTAGTCCCAGGGTCCTTAGCTTAGTGATGAGCTTTGAGGGCACTATGGTATTGAACGCTGAGCTGTAGTCAATGAATAGCATTCTCACATAGGTGTTCCTTTTGTCCAGGTGGGAAAGGGCAGTGTGGACTGCGATTGAGATTGCGTCATCTGTGGAATTGGAGTGGGTCTAGGGTTTTCCAGGACGATGGTGTTGATGTGAGCCATGACCAGCCTTTCAAAGCACTTCATGGCTACCGACGTGAGTGCTACGGGGCGGTAGTCATTTAGGCAGGTTACCTTCGCTTTCTTGGGCACGGGGACTATGGTGGTCTGCTTGAAACATGTTGGTATTACAGACTCTGTCAGGGAAGACACTTGCCAGTTGGTCCGCGCGTGCTCTGAGTACACGTCCTGGTAATCCGTATTCACTTACTGCTACTGCACCTCAGTTGTCTACTGCTAACAAAGATCTGAAACTAGGACCTCTTACATGATTTGAGTTATTGTAATATTGTACTAGGTTACTGTTCTTACATGATTTGAGTTATTGTAATATTGGATGTCTTCTTACATGTCTTCTTCTTCTTCTATTATTTGACGGTAATGTAATCTCTATTCTATCCAGTACTCTGTGTTAATCTCCTGTCCGTGTCTCCTGCAGGACAAGTGTTTCCAGTACTGGCCCACAGAGGACTCAGTGACCTATGGAAACTACACTGTAGAGATCAAGGGAGACACCGTTTGTGACACCTTCAGTCTACGGGACCTGGTACTCACCTACGGCCCAGTAAGTTAACATACCCTGAGGTGGTGAGGGACTTAAAGCAATAGTTTATTGAGATTTTTTTGCCTTAACCTTCGTCTTACCTCAAGAGAGGAGTCTATGATTAATCACAGCAATACAGTGTTTGTCATGCTATCATATTGCTAATCTTGTAACCCTCGACCAAATTAGATGTTAACAGTCGTCACGAGAAACTAGCGTATTGCTAGAATTTGCATCCGAAACGCTAAACTATCTTTCCAAACCTAGCAAATTGCTAAAATTAGCTCCCAAACGCTAAGCTATCTTACCAAACCTAGCAAATTGCAAAAATTAGGTCCCAGTGCTAAATTATCCGTCCAAACCTAGCATATTGCTAAAATGAGCATCCTAAAAGCTACATTATCTTTTCAAACCTGGGTTTCCATGTTTTCAGGATAAGCAGACACGTCTGGTCCGCCACTTCCACTTCCACGGCTGGCCAGAGATCGGGATCCCAGCCGAGGGGAAAGGAATGATCGACATCATCGCCTCGGTGCAGAAACAGCAACAGCAGTCAGGAAACCATCCCATCATCGTACACTGCAGGTAGCTAAGACTCTGACCCTTATCACCATGTGGTGGGATATACTTCCTAACACTTTTACACTTTACTCTTACCTAAGTAACACTTTTATACCACTTTAAATGTACTTCGGTAACCCTTTTTTTTTTCGGTAACACTTTGGGCTTTTATAGTTTGTTCAGCATTCTTTAGGCAGGACTCCAACCCCCCAAAAGTGTGACTTTAACTAGCAACCCATTACAACAGTCACAAAACCCCAAAGTCACTGTTTTTCTTGAATGTTCTGTTGTGTTAGTGCTGGTGCAGGGCGAACAGGTACGTTCATTGCACTGAGCAATATCCTGGAGCGGGTCAAGGCTGAGGGCTTACTGGACGTGTTTCAGACTGTGAAGAGTTTACGGATGCAGAGGCCACATATGGTCCAGACCGTGGTGAGGACTTTGACACAAATCACCGTTTGTTACACCAAAACCGTTTCCTCTGAAAAATATTTTGAACCTATTCTAATTTCCAAAGAATCCAATATTTTAACGTAGTTTTGTCTCACATCATAATTGACCATGTATCTATCGGTCCCAATGCCAGTAATAGATAATACAATATCAGAATGTGTCTTTGGTGCTCTGGCTGACAGTAAAATGATCAAAACAGATATAAAACATTGAACATTTAACATGTCAGTTCATCGGAGTCTTATTTAGAATTGTCCCTGATGGTTCTAAATTCTTTCCACAGGAACAATACGACTTCTGCTACCGGGTGGTACAAGACTTTGTGGACATTTTCTCAGACTATGCCAATTTTAAATGATGAAATATTTGCCTTAAACATCATTTTGTTCAATGTTGTTTTTGAAATACCACTTGGTCATGATTTGCGTTAAAATGTCCTTAAAATAATTAAATGGTTTTCTATTTTGCTATGCACTTGTCCTTACTGTAACTAAAACTCCATCCCTCGCTGTAATATACTGTATGTCAATGGGACGAAAATTGTAAATGCCAAAAGTAAGATAAATAATGTATATCTCACATCATGTATAAAAAATTATTTTGTAATGAAATTCAAGTGTTATTTTAACCTTGGTCGCTTTATTCACATATTTAGTTGTTGTATGATACTGTACTTTTGTTAAAATCTTGTTTTATTCAGACTGAGTGTTTATTGATTTGACCGTACGTGTAATATTTTTGAGTGTGTAGCTATTGTAAATGTTTTATGTATTGTTGCAGACCTTCCATTTATTGCATTCTAAGAACGTCATGTGAATATTATTAAGATATTCGGACATTTATCGATGACTTCTATCTGTGACTAGAGGTGATAACTCATCTGTCTTTAATTTTATTGGAAATAACCCGTTTTAAAATATTAAGGTCTTTACAATGCAAGATAAGTCTCTTTTTTTTTTTTGAGCCACAATGTCAAGAACACAAAAAATATGCAAAGTATCGATATCAAGTTAAGCCTTTATTATTGACTAGGATAATAGTAACAAACATATTAAGGAATTGTAAGAATTTGTTTCCATTAATGTGATGGAAGTGGATAGTCTACTTCAGTCCAGCAAAGTGATATGCAGCTGCACATATAATATCAAGGTACCAGTAGCACTAATACTACCATACTGCAGTTTCTGTCCGTCCACAACGGCAAATATTTAGCTAAAGCCACTGCACATATTCTGATGTACATTGCCAAGCATACTACCAAGGAATATTACAGATACATTTCAAATATGTTAAATCTGAAAAGTGATAATAGTCATCATTTGTGTATATATATATATATATATATATATATATTGTGTATTGCCTAATATCGGTGGATACATCTTAAATGAATGCAGTCCTGAACTGCCCATATATCTGAGAAGTGATATGTATTATTGTACCTAATTGGAAGGAGTCTGCTGATGCTGTGCCAAATAAGTCTAGGAAAAAGCACAACTCATTCTGATCTGACGCAACAGTCAGTGTGACGTACAATGAAAATATCAAACGTAAGTGCATCTAAATGAACTCAACACAATATTTTAAAAAAAAAAAGCACAAAGGATGGACAAAACTCCTTTTTATTTCAAATAATGATCCTCAATCTGTTAATAAAATATCCATGCAAATGCCATACCTTTTAGTATTTAAACATCTGTGTACATTATAGTATACTGGCTTCCACCAATCCCATGAAATACAGAGATCCTCATTATGACATCACAGCATTTACGTTGTTGTGAAAGATTAGGTCATGGGGGGGGGAACCCCAACAAAACATTACCTCAAACGCCAGTGGTGCTTCAATGCCAGTTTTATAAGGGCGCCCTTCTAGGAATCTCAGATAAGACCACCTGAAAGGTCCAGAAGACCAGACACACGCTCCTCTATCTCTTTAGAACATGTTGAAATATGTCATGTCATGTTGATTCAACAGGGAGGAGGAAGAACTAACCATGTCAAGTACACAATTAAACAAGGAAATCGTCTATAGAGATGGAATTATGTTGAACAGTTGGAATATGGAATCGTTGGATGCTGTGTCAGATGTGATTTGTTGTTCTGGAGGAATGGCCCAACTTAACCCCGTGTCCCTGGACCTCTTTTTAATCGGTTCTGTGTTTTGATAAAGATGGAGGAGGGTGTTTTCAGGTCACACCTCTTCCACTTTAGTTTTCTGCTTTTCATAGTCGGCCTCTCTTGGATTCTCAATGTCTTTTAAATGCTGGGTTGCAATATTAAATTAATTGAAAAACCTACGTTTTGCTCAGTCAATTTACTTACATGTGGTTCAGCACTGTCATCTAGTGGGGAAGAAGGGGTATATAATATTCAGTTACATGATGCTTTATGTAAACCAGTAGATGTCACTGTTAAGTTGAAATAGTCTCACTATATCCTCAATATGATCCTTTACTAATCCAAACAGGTGAAACTCCATCACAGGCGGCTGGTGGCACCTTAATTGGGAAGGACTGGCTCATAATAATGGCTGGAACAGATTGAATGGAATGGTATCAAACATATGGTTTCCATGGTTCCCATGTGCTTGATGCCACTCCATTTACTCCATTCCAGCCATTATTATGAGCCAGTCCTCCAACCACCAGCCTAACGTGAGCTCCATACATGGGGATAATCTCAATCACTTTATTGGTCAACTGAAATGTGACTTCTGCTTTATCCCAACCATCTGAAAGACACATACACATACAGCATACAGGTTGGAGAGGTTGGAGCAGAGGACTGTTACATACAGCATACAGGTTGGAGCAGAGGACTGTTACATACAGCATACAGGTTGGAGCAGAGGACTGTTACATACAGCATACAGGTTGGAGCAGAGGACTGTTACATACAGCATACAGGTTGGAGAGGTTGGAGCAGAGGACTGTTACATACAGCATACAGGTTGGAGAGGTTGGAGTAGAGGACTGTTACATACAGCATACAGGTTGGAGAGGTTGGAGCAGAGGACTGTTACATACAGTATACAGGTTGGAGAGGTTGGAGCAGAGGACTGTTACATACAGCATACAGGTTGGAGCAGAGGACTGTTACATACAGTATACAGGTTGGAGAGGTTGGAGCAGAGGACTGTTACATACAGCATACAGGTTGGAGAGGTTGGAGCAGGGGACTGTTACATACAGCATACAGGTTGGAGCAGAGGACTGTTACATACAGTATACAGGTTGGAGAGGTTGGAGCAGAGGACTGTTACATACAGCATACAGGTTGGAGAGGTTGGAGCAGAGGACTGTTACATACAGTATACAGGTTGGAGAGGTTGGAGCAGAGGACTGTTACATACAGCATACAGGTTGGAGAGGTTGGAGCAGAGGACTGTTACATACAGCATACAGGTTGGAGCAGAGGACTGTTACATACAGTATACAGGTTGGAGAGGTTGGAGCAGAGGACTGTTACATACAGCATATAGGTTGGAGAGGTTGGAGCAGAGGACTGTTACATACAGTATACAGGTTGGAGCAGAGGACTGTTACATACAGTATACAGGTTGGAGCAGAGGACTGTTACAAACAGTATGCGGGAGGCTGCCACACTGGTCGCTTGTAGAGCAGTTGTTGAGGTGGGTTAAATTACTTTAGACATGGTTTATTATCCCATGGTTTATTATCCCATGGTTTAGATATGGTTTAGACATGGTTCTAAACATGGTTTTAAGAATGGTTTTAGACATGGTTTAGACATTATTTAGAAATGGTTTTAGACATGGTTCTAAACATGGTTTTAGATATGGTTTAGACATGGTTTATTATCCCATGGTTTAGACATGGTTTAGACATGGTTTATTATCCCATGGTTTAGACATGGTTTATTATCCCATGGTTTATTATTCCATGGTTTAGACATGGTTTATTATCCCATGGTTTAGACATGGTTTATTATCCCATGGTTTAGACATGGTTTATTATCCCATGGTTTAGACATGGTTTAGACATGGTTTATTATCCCATGGTTTAGACATGGTTTATTATCCCATGGTTTATTATCCCATGGTTTAGACATGGTTTAGACATGGTTTATTATCCCATGGTTTAGACATGGTTTAGACATGGTTTATTATCCCATGGTTTAGACATGGTTTATTATCCCATGGTTTAGACATGGTTTAGACATGGTTTATTATCCCATGGTTTAGACATGGTTTATTATCCCATGGTTTATTATCCCATGGTTTAGACATGGTTTAGACATGGTTTATTATCCCATGGTTTAGACATGGTTTAGACATGGTTTATTATCCCATGGTTTAGACATGGTTTATTATCCCATGGTTTAGACATGGTTTATTATCCCATGGTTTAGACATGGTTTAGACATGGTTTATTATCCCATGGTTTAGACATGGTTTAGACATGGTTTATTATCCCATGGTTTATTATCCCATGGTTTAGACATGGTTTAGACATGGTTTATTATCCCATGGTTTAGACATGGTTTAGACATGGTTTATTATCCCATGGTTTAGACATGGTTTATTATTCCATGGTTTAGACATGGTTTATTATCCCATGGTTTAGACATGGTTTATTATCCCATGGTTTAGACATGGTTTAGACATGGTTTATTATCCCATGGTTTAGACATGGTTTATTATCCCATGGTTTAGACATGGTTTATTATCCCATGGTTTATTATCCCATGGTTTAGATATGGTTTATTATCCCATGGTTTAGATATGGTTTAGATATGGTTTAGACATGGTTCTAAACATGGTTTTAAGAATGGTTTTAGACATGGTTTAGACACAGGGGCGGTGTGTTCAATAGGGCGATATGGGCGACGCACTGCCAAACGGGAAAAGGAAGGGATTTTTTTTCTAATCAATTATATCACGGCAACAGTAGTTATCAGTGTTGTAATCTAGACGTCTGATCTGCCACAGTGCCACTAAATGTCCAATCAGGCTAAAGTCGTGCTTCAAATGCCCCCCCCCCCCCTTTTGGGGCGATTTCAGTCAGGTTGAAAATTGCCCAGAAGTCTGTCATAGACTCCCATGTAAAATCTTTTTTTTTCAAATATCAGAGCTTTCAATACAATCTCTATGGGTTTCTGAGGGCTTGCACTTACGCGCTTTCGTCATACGTAACATAACCATGAACGTAACTAAGAAAAGAGCGGGTAGCAGCGTCAATCAATTCACTATTACTGTCAAAATGGCTAGGCTTCAGTGCAACTCGATTGTGTCTTTGAAAGAAGTTCCTTTTTGTCGGCGAACAAATGAAGATAAATTGGCAACGAAACAATTAGGACCTCCCAGACCAAATTTAATAATTCAACAGGTTTCTACTAAAGGGGGGAAGTCCTACACCCGAGGATTTTCCAAAAATTGGTACGAACGAAAAACCTGGCTAGCAGGCTGCGATGTAGCTAATGCAGTCTTCTGCTACCCCCTGCTTACTCTTTCACCCTGAAGGCGGCACGGCAGACAGCACCGCTTGGACAGCGACTGGTGTGTAACGGACATGCACCATCTTTCAGGAAAGATTAAGAAACATGAGCTGTCAAAGACCCACATGGATAGCTGTTTGAGATTGTCTGCTTTGGGGAGAGTGAACATTCCCACTCAACTGGATGAGGGATACAGGCTAGCTGTCCGCCGCCACAACGATGAGGTTAGTGTTGATAATCACAAGTTTACTGGAGAACTGAAACTGACAAGGCTGACAAGATAGGACCCTTTTGTCCATTGTTATTGGATAGGAACAGAACTTATAACCAGCTCCTGACCTAAATAGATCTTAGCACAACATTTTACTCAACATATCATATTCCATATTCACTATAACAAATATATTTACTACGACATTAGCAAGAACCGCCACATCCTCAGCCGGCTAATCCAGTGTGTGAAGTTTTGCGGAGTGTTTGAGTTAGCTTTGCGAGGCAAAG